TGCGAATACATGCTCATATAGGCATTACGGAAGTCAGTGTGGAAGCTCCTCAAAAAACTAATAGACCTATCATATGTATATGTATTATATATACCTGAAATATTGCCAACACACCATAAAGATCCTTGCACCGTAATAACTGTTTCTATACTATTTATGACAACACCCACAAAACACTTTTTCCTTTTTTCTGGAAAGGAAAATGAAATCATGGTATCTGGTGGAAAATGGATGAACTGTAAGTGAAACAATCCTGATTCAGGAGGACAAATAGCACAATTTCTCATACATGGACTTTAGATTTAAACTTATACATGAACATATGGGCTATATGTGTGTCAAAAAGTAAGTGAAATTAAAAAGGAAATTGTAATAGGAAGAAGAAATTATAAAGGGCAGTCAGGGAGAGGGAATAATGCAATACATGTGACATAAAAGCAGAAGGGAGGACAATTTAGAGGGAGGGAAGGGGCTTGACCAACAGGAGGGTGTCAGGGAGAAATGGAGGATAACAGTGAGGAAGAGGGGATGATTACAAATAAAGAATAGTGGCATAGATGTATGAAATGCCATAATAAAACCCATTACTTTGTATGCTAATTGAAAAATTAGTAAAAAGGAACAGCGAGCTGGCTCAAGTGGGTAGAGGCACTTCCTACCAAGAATGACAACCTGAATTCCATCCCTGGAACTCAAGTAGAAGAGGGAAGAGAAAATTAAAATCTGCATAGTTGTCCTTTGGCCTCTGCTTGTGGGCACATACACACATACATTAAATAAAATACATTTAAGAATGAAAGTGAAAAATTAAATTTTATTAATTATCTTGCATTGAGGTATTCATATCCTGTCTTCTGCCATCTGATCTTTAAAGTTCTACATGTGCCTTTTTATTTGTGACACCTTCCCTTAACAACTATGATGTTTATATGCCTTGTCTCTCTACCATATGCTAATTCGGTTCACTTTATAATATTTGTTTGTTTGTTTTTCGAGACAGGGTTTCTCTGTGTAGTTCTGGCTGTCCTAGAACAGCCTGTAGACCAGGCTGGCCTTGAATTCAGAGATCTACTTGCTTCTGCCTTTGGAGTGCTGGGATTAAAGGTGTGCTCCATGACCTGAGGCTTCATTTCATACTTTTTGATCTTCCCTATCTCTGACAATATTTATACATCATGCATAGGATTATTTACTACATATTTGTACCCAAGTACAAAGAATTCATAAATTTCTGTTAATAACAGTAAATAATACTAGTAAAGTGGGAAAAAAATCAAGAAAGGAAAGAGAAAAGAGGAAGCCACAGAATAAGGGTAACATTGGTAGTTCAGATGCAAGCTGAAAGTATGAACTAAGGTAGCACACAAATACAGAGCTGAGAGAAGGCAGAAATATTAAAAACGACACTACTTTGAGCAATCTTATACCTACACAACAAGACTAGCAGGTTTTAAAAACAAACTGACTTGTAATTTTTGAAATGGATAAGACAATTTGTAAAACTACACTCATGCTTACAACTTTGTTTTATTCTCCCTGAGGCTGAACCATGCTCTATCACTAGAAAAATCAGATGCAACTATGGAGCTAAGCTTCTTGACCAACATAAATCATACAAGCTAATTTGGCTTTGTTAGATGATTTGATTCAGAATAGTTGATAAATGTGCTTGGATCTGGCTGGTAGTTAATGCAGAAACTCACAAATGATCAGAAAATGTTAGTTGAGTGAAAATGAGAAAATCATATCATATTCCCCCAAAGCCCCATACTATAAAAGAGGGGGCAAAAACAAAACAAAACAGACAAACAAAACAGAAAACCGTAAGAGCCAGAAGTTAGGGAGAACTAGAGTAAAACAGTGTCTTTTGGACATGACAGGACTGTTGCACGAATGAATTCACAGTGTAGTTGCCCTGAACAAAACCTGCACAAGATCAAGGCAATCAACATTCCAACAATGAGCAGGGAGGGATTCACAAGTCCACACAACTACCTGGGACGCTACAGAGAGTCGATGGCTTCTAGGAGAGTCAGTTCTTTAAGTGCATGCATGGCCTGTGGTAGGGCAACCACGCTCCAGTGAATGGGCACACATCCATGAGTATATGGGCAGCATAGAAGACTTGGTGGGTCATTTTAAAAGAGGAACATGAAATGAGATGGCTAAAGAGTTGGGGGAGAAACAGAAGATGGATATGTTCATAATATAGTGTACAAATTTCTGAAAGACTGAAAAAATTCTATTAAAAGATCTGTGTAGGCTTAACTGATGATTCTGGATAGCTTACAATTAACATGTACTGTGTGACTGTCCTGACTTTATCTTAATGCTGTGTAGTATGGCTACCTTGGTGAAATGGAGTGATGCTCCTGGCAGGTCATTCACTCTCCCTCAATATGATGCTATGATTTCTCAATTCATCCTTTAGATTAGCAATTTTGTATCACTTTGCTTGTCTCCTGTGTTGATTGACCACTTTGAGTGAAGACACACTCTGAATTATGAGATTCCTTACTTGATCATATATTAAAACAAACTAACTTTTGCTGAATTATGTCTTGAAGCAGACATAACATAGTAACTGTGGTAGAATGAATGTTAAGATACAGATCTAAGTTCAAATCCCATATCTGCCACTTAAAAGATAAAATAAGAAAAGTCCTCATCTCCCAATCAGTGCCCCCCCCCCCCCCCCACAAACAAAAACCTAGGTGTATATAGTACAGTTTGTCTACCATATGCAGGGCCATCGGTTTAATCTCCTGACCTGGGAAATGAGAGGCAGGAGCTCCAAGCTAACAAGTAAAATGACTATATTAAAATCATTACTGTCATCAAATCAAATGAAAAAAAAAAAAAAACAGATCTAAAGGCTATGATGTAGGTTAAAACTAGCTAAGTACTATATATATAAAATAAGGGACATTTGGGTCCCTATGAGGTAGTTTGTCAGGTGACAATCATTAGATAATTTAGGAGTTATAAAAGAAGGAAATGTGCTTAGGATTTACTGGGATAGAAAACACACCCTTTCCAGTTGTAGGGCATCAAACATTAGGCTCTAGAATCATTCAAAAGTACAGACACTTAGAAAAATCAATTAGGCTTATTTGTTAGTAAATTCCAGTTAGCCTCACAGAACACAGCAAAGTATTAGTATTAGTGTGGGAAAAATTTGATGCCTCTCAAAAAGGACACTAAGAACTTCCATATAAAACTTATATATAAACAACGACTGTGCCACTGATTACTCTCCTGCTAAAACTTATTGTAGCAAGGAAAACAAAAAAGGACCAGTTCTCTAGCTTATTCAGAGAAAAAAAGCCTTCACAGTGGTGCTATGGTGAGAAAAAAAGCTGCTGGCATTAAGATCCTGGGTCTGCTCTACAGAACACTACTGAAATTGGTGTAGTGAAATTGAATTATGCTGATATTATTCAAACAACACATTCTATGAAACAGAAAAATCCCATTTCCTTCTTTTTATTAGCATATAGTAATTATACAAAATAATGGAAAAAACAACTGACTTAAGTCTCCTAAAGACAAAAGGTCGTTAGGGGGTCCAACTTTAGTAGTGTGCAGCGACATTTCGTGTTCTGTTCTTTTTCTTAAGTGAATCAAAGAATTACTAGGAAACATTATTTCCTGGTAGTCTGATTCAAGGGACTGGGGAAAAGGGAAAACTGCCTAGAGCAAAATGCCCAAGTAATAAGGAAGTTTTTCTAGAGTGCCACAATAGCCAATGAACTGGAAACTGATGTAAAAGGTCCTGACACCAACAGGAGGGCCAGGAGCAGTGCCACACAGGCCAAAGACTGGAAACCAATACAAAGAACAGCTACAGAGAGATCTTTTTGCTTCCAGTACATAGGACAACTCTTATTTCGTTCAACAGTCTCTCGCCTCTCAACACAAACCTAGACTCAGTACCGCCCACCAATACTCTTCAGCGGCAAGTAACTCTTCTAATCCATTGTCTGCAGGTGCGACAGGCGGCGCCTACTTACTGAGCTGTCCTCCGCCCGACGTCGTACTCGGTTCCCGTCCTCCTGCGCCTCCAACGCCGGATGCGCCAGGAATCCCAGGCGCCCCTATCCCTGGCGGGGTCCCACTCTGCCTCTCAAAGTTGCCAGGATTGGAGAAGTAATCGCGCAGCCGTGGGAGCTCACGGCCGCTCTCCAGCAGCTCGGTGTGCAGCTCCAGGGCAGTCAGCAGGTATTGATCGCGCAACAGCTGGGCCGCGATGGCATCGATCGACAAACGGGCAGGGGGCTCCCCGCTGACCCCCAGGGCCGCTGGGGGGGCGGACGCCTCCGCAGGGAGCCCTGGCCGCGAGCTGCTCCCCAAGGCCACGGGGTCCTGTGGCGACAGCGAGCCTGCAGAGCCAGGATCCAGGCCGACCCCGGCACCCAGCCGAAGTCCTGACCGACGCTCCTCGGTCGCCACCACCTCGTCGTCGTCCTCATCGGAATCGCTGAGGAATGGATTTACGCCGCCACCACTGCCACTACCTCCGGGCGCCATCGCCGCCATCTTATTCTGTCAGGAGTGTGGGTGCTTCCCTGCCTGGCCCGACAGGCCTCACCCTGAATCCTCGTTAGGTCCCGGGAGCCACTGAGCACGTAGGCAGCCGAAGCCCACCACGTCCCTCCTTCTCACCTCGAGACTACGCCCAACTGGGAGGCAAGAGGCCGGGATGCAATAGCACCTGCCGCCTCAGCCGCCGCTGCACCCCAGCAGCCGGCTCGGCAGGCGTCTTCCTGGTCTCTAGTCTCGCGAGAACTGGCTTGTGTCCTGTCTTCGCCCCGCCCCGTTCCCGCCTCAGCCCCACCCACCTCAGGCTCGGAGTCGGAAAACTAAAGGAACCGCTCAGGACTCAAACGTAAAGCACCGCCCACAACCACTCGAGGATTGGCTGGAGGTTTTGGTCCAGCCCAGAGAGGTCTCGCGAGATCAGAGAGGAGGGTTGGGACTTGATGGGGGCGTTCCCTGGAGGCGCAGGTGGAGGTAGCTGAAGGGCTGTGTTCTGAGGGGCGACAGGGTAACCCTCCCGAGACCTTTCGTGACGCTAGGTCCTACCTTCGTTCCGAGGAGGCCACGTTCCTGGACCGAGCCCGAGCCGCATAAGCCCAAGGTAAAGTTCCGGGACCCTTGCGCTTGAGGTGTGGCGGCGCCAGCCCGGTGGCCCCACGCCCGCTTGCTCCCTTCCTGCTGGAGATTTTGCCGCTGTTTGCTCTCAGACAGCAAGTGCGCTGGGCAGTATTCAGAATCTGGCTTCTTCCCTTTTTGGTACTTTCCCAGCCGTGTCCTTTCTCGATTGGAATTGTAGAGACAGCTTGTCCTCCTTGCGGTTAAGGGAGGGCGCCTTGCCGCCCCTTCCGTCCGGCAGTTGGACCTAGAGAGCTGCGGAGTGCAGATAGAGCCTGGACGGAAATTGCAACACTTGAGTTACGAATTGCCTTAGCGCCCACCCATCTGTGAACAGCCTGGACTTGAAAGATAAACTAACTGCTCTGTAAACTGTTGGAGGGTAACATACAGTTTGCATCAGAGGAACTTTTCAAACTATTACGCGCTCTCTCACCAGTCCAAGTGAGTAAACTTCAGTCTGGGGAGCTTCGATGACCTGGTCAAGTCTACTGCACATTCAGTGGAACTAGCATCACCTACTTTTTGTCCAAAACTATTCTTTCTCACAATCCCATGAAACTTTTCTGAGTTCCTTTAGGCTAGAATCAATGTTTTGATTTAAAATCAATCAAATTTTAGCGATTTTAAAAGTTGCACTCAGTAGTTTCCTTTATGAAACGTTAGCCCATAAGTATACTCTAAGTTTGGGAGCTTATTTATCTTTTGTGTTACTCCTTGACTGTGGTCTGAGGTGGTAAGGGGAGGTTTCTCTGTCAGACTGCCAGCTTCTGTTTTGTTACACACAGATTGCCACTTTTATTTTTGGTTTTAGATTTTTTTTAGATTCCTACTAACGAGCTAACAGACAACAAAATAAATATGCAGCAGTGCTAACTCTGTTCTGCACTACACTGAAGCACTGAAGTATCTCGTTTGGCTCTGGAAAAATTAATATAGAACATTGTTATATGACCTTTCGTCTGGTTATTGGTGTACATGTAAAGTATGCCAGCAGTTAAGTGTAGGCTTTAATTCCAGTTTAGTCGGTCTCGATAAACTAAAATTTCATTTGAATGAGGCTTTGGGTGTTTTTTTTTTTTTTTTTTTTGTTATAATTATTGTTTGGGCTTTCTTGCAAGCTATTAAAATAGTGCTACATGTAATATGAAGGTATGAGGGAGAATATTGGAGGTTGGAGTGAATGGTTTAAATGGGCATAGGAGACAGGGAAATGGGTAGAAAGTTAACCCAAATACTAAAAGAACGTAAGGAACCTTTCCACATTGTAGTAATTTAAAAATAGTGTTAGTAGTAAGGATTTGTTTTTAAATAAGATTTTAGCTTCCAGTTCTTTGGGCTAAATATTATTCTGTGCCATTTATTGATGAATCTGAAAAAAAAAATCTTCAGTGTCATGGAAGTAGTACAAAATGATCAATATTGGGTACTGAGGACATTGGTGGTTTTTAAAAACAAGTAACAGTGGCTAGCAGAGCCTGGAAAAGCAAGGTCAGTAGGTAAAAAAGAGGCAGCAGCTTTAATTTAGTGTCTGAATTGTAAAGCACTAATTGAAAATAGATTAAAAATGTTGCCTACACATTTTAAATCTTAAGTCTTAAGAAGTTGAACGTAGAAGTTTTTTGGCTGACCTGCTATACACATCGAAAGTTACTGCTAGTTCCTCTCCTGTAACCACAGGCTTATGTATCTAACTCCAGGCTTTCAACAAATCAGCTGACCAGTCTTCCCATAGGGTACTTTGCCTCTCAGGATCATGCATGAATAGTTTTAATGAACACACTGGGATAGTAAGAATTTCTGACCTCTACTTATAATTTATTAATAGTTGTTGGGAATTTTCTCTCTTCTTTGGAAGACTGCCTAGATGAAAGCCTTTTAGGCTGACATCTCACCTGAATAAGGATAGTCATTGAATCTCATCTTTCAGTAATAAAAATATAAAAGATAGCGTATTTTCCTAAACACTTCATTTATATGTTAAAATTATTTGTGGATTTCATTGTTTTAAATAACCGCAAATTACATAAATGCCAAGTTTGGTCAATTAGTATTTGATAATGTCTAATACGTTCTTAGTTTGTAGTTTATGGTGGCATATATCCCACAGATATAAACTAAATTTTTATAGACAAATGAACATGGGTTTTAAATTTTAAAAGTTAAAATTTAGTTATGCATTTATTTTGGAGATTTCCAAACAATTCAACTATGCCAGTTTTCTTTTTCAATAAATGTGAATGAGAAGTGATTTCATTTAAAGAAAAATGTTATATTGCAATATTGCTTGAGATAAATGTGATTGAGTATTCATTCTTTCAAGTCACTATAACTTAATATGTAATAAATTACGTAAACATAAAACATGGACTTTTTGGGTGTGTTTTGAAAACATCTTTGAAGCTTAACAGCTATGATTCAGAAAACAGAGCTAAGAAAGGCGACATCTAGTGGCTGTAGTACATATTGTCATTGAAATGTAATCTTAAGTGATTTATTTAGCAACATTTAACTCTTTTCATAAAAATATGGTGGATGCTAACGATGACCTTTCCTGCTGTTCTTGAATTATTGTGAAGTGACAAAAGCAGACATTAAATCATCAGTTACGTACTGAACCCACAACTCTACCACTGAGCTAAGTCCAAAGCCCCACATAGACATTTTATTTAATCACATAAATGCTATTAATAGTCAAAAGCTGAAAATAACAATAATTCAGTGGTTTGCAATTTGGGATTTGTTAGTAAAGATGCATTTGAGGACAAAATGTGGTAACATTATGTGATATATGGGAGGAGTTTGTTTTTAAGAGAAGTGGTAATACATGTTCAAGGAAAAATGAATAGCCGGGGCTGGCAAGATGTCTCAGTAGGTAAAGGCATTGTCGGTGAGCCCGAAGACAAGTGTTTGATTCCAGAGTTGCTTTCTGATGTCCACATATGTGCCATGGATTGCATGTGCATATGCATGTGTGTGCGCACAGAAAAACACACGAGTACACAGATGCTCATGCACACACTGCACATACAAACACAAATAAAAACACAATAAAACATTTAAAATGTTAATATATATTTTTAAATACATATAAAGCTGTTTGCCTCCATAAAAATGGAGACATTTAAGATAAGTTTTTTTAAAGAAAGTGTTTTTTCTTTTTTTCGTTCTTTATTTTTTATTATTAGTTACATTTTATTAACTCTGTATCCCACTCCCTCATTATCTCCCAATCCCATCCTCCCTCCCTCATATCCTCCCTGCCCCTCTCCAAGTCCACTGATAGGGGAGGACTTCCTCCCCTTCCGTCTGACCCTGTTTTATCAGGTATCTTCAGGACTGGCTACAAAGTCCTCCTCTGTGGCCTAGCAGGGCGGCTCCTCCCTTGGGAGGTGGGGAGGTCAAAAAAACAGCCATTGAGTTCATGTCGTAAATAGTCCCTGTTCCCCTTACTAGGAAAACACACTTGGATACTGAGATACTATGGGCTACATCCGAGCAGAGGTTGTAGACAAATATTTGCAACCATCCTTGTTGAATTATGATATATATATATATATATATATATATATATATATATATATATATATA